CCCCCCCCCCCCCCCCCAAAAAAAGAAGAAAATAATTTTTTTACTCTATCAACCTAATAAATTATAGTTAAAATTAGGAGAGATGAAAGAAAGTTGCATAAGGCCTAGGGATCATTTAGTCTTGTCACCTCATTTGGCACTTGTTAGTCCACAGGCAGGAAAGCCCCGGGATATCCAAAGTTGCAGCGGCAAATTTGCAGTTACGCTGAAGCCTTATTGGCAGGATTGTTAAATTTAGTCAAGCTTTTGCTGGGATACAAATTAGTGAAGCATCCACTGTGGGATAAAATTGGCTGCAAGGCATATTGGCCATTTATTTGATTAAAGCATTTTAAAGCTTGAAGAATTGGTATACCTATTAAAGTAAAACGTTATTCCAATGAACGTGAGGGTCAGTACACCCTCTGTAGCCCAGAGGGGTGCAAGGAGCTAGCCCCACCCAAGGAAAAAACAAAACAACTGACACCCAAAACTTACTAGTTGCTGTTTGTTAATTTTTTTTAGTTCAAGGCATTCTTGTGAGTTAAAAGGTAGCACAAATTAAATTTCCAAAAAATGAAAAATATGTTGGACATGTTGTTGTGTTTGTTTGCTAGGTATTGTTAATGTGCCAAGCTCAGCCATTAAAGTATCAGATCTCATTATTGTTGAAAAGGTATGTGCAGTATTTGTTGGGTAAAATCCAGTCTCAGGTTGAACCACAATTTTATTTGTCTCCTTTGAACTGGGGCTTGGAAACAAAGGGAATTCTGAATCAACCTAGCTTGAATACTGGTTTACTAGAAGGATTTTACCTACAACTCAGTCTTTCACCCTTAATCAGGTGAAAATGCATCCACTGAGTGAATTTTTTTAACTTTTCCTTCTTATTGTGTGAGCTTGAAGTGAGGTTGGTTGCTAGATGTCTCTCAAGTTCCTTTTTGATATAAACACAAAGATTAAAAGCTAATATGCAGCCATCAGCAGGGCTGTGCTCTAGCAGAGCCTGGTGGCCCCTGGCACCTAACTTTTGCTCTTGGGTGATTAAAAAATCTTACTTCTTTCATACAAATCATATGCTGGGTACCCTGGATTTCATAAGTTCAGAGCACTGGGCTCCCTTCAATTTTTCTTAGAGCACAGCCTTGATCAGTATTCACCAACTGGTCATGAATGAAGTATTTTTCTGATGTATGGTGAAATATTGAGAAAAATTGCCCTTGCAGAGATTAACATGGCCATGGGGAAGGTAATAATTTATTGTAACTCCACCTTGCTTGCATTAAATTTAATAACTGGCTAATCACAATACAAGATTTAGTTAATATCTTTATCATAGTGTATCTTTTACATGATATACTACCATCCATAATATAATAAAAAGATTTGATCACAATTATTGCATTAAAAGATATTCCTGAGCTGTTGACTCATTAAATTTCCTTGTTTGACAGGATCAAAGAGTTCCAGCTGATATAGTATTCCTGAGAACGTCAGAAAAAAATGGTAAACTGATTCACAAGACCTCTATAGATAGGACTTTTTGACATCTAGTGATTGAAATTTTTCCCATTTATATGAATTTAGTTTGTTGGCCCAGTTTTGTTTTTGTCTCACCTTTTAACTGTTGTTGATACATCTTACAATGATGTCAAGGCATATGCCAAAACAACGTTATCCAACTACCCATGAATTTTGATGTAAAAAAATATTTTCTTTTCAGGGGCTTGCTTTCTAAGAACAGATCAAATGGATGGTGAAACAGACTGGAAACTCCGTTTAACTGTACCACCATGCCAAAGATTGCCTTGTGATGATGTAAGTGAAATATGGGTGTGGAATGAGGTATTATTAATTATAAAAAGACATGGACTGTACTAAACAAAGTCGAGTTGTGAATGGTCTTGAAGTTGATTTGGTACATGGCTGTGTAAAGTCCTCATCATGGGGAAGAGTTTTAATGGCCCTTATGCATGAATACATCTTGAAAATGAGCAAATTTCACCAACAAGCCTTTTTTGTAAGCTAAATTCTACATATTTGCAACCCTTGTGCATGGGTATCCTATTCAACTCTACTGACTTGGGAATTCATTTAATATGCAAAACTTCTCAACTTTGCAATTTCAAAATTGGGTGAAATTTGCTCATCTGATGTGAACATGTATATTAAGGGCTATTGATTTTGTTTTTAGTGCATTATAAGATGGCTGACTAACTCATTTGAAGGCAACAGATTGTAGCTAAAAGTTAGAACTTGTGTGGCAAATGTAGTTTAGTTAATTTAATTGTTTTTCTTTGCTTTAGGATTTGTTGAACATCAGTGCCTCTGTTTATGCAGAAAAGCCACAGAAAGACATTCATTCTTTTGTTGGCACATTTACAAGGGTAAGTTCCATTACATGCAGTATATACCATATTCAAGCTACCCAATTCTAGAGACTTATGCTGGACAGTGGTAATAACATAAGGACAGTGGGATTGATATTACAATAAGCAATCCCTTATCTGTACACGCATTTGTATTTTCATTGGTACATATCTCTCTTGTTCTCTGTAGAAAGGCGAAATCAAATTCAAGACACAGTGTTCATTGTTAATAGTTTTAAGCTTAGTGAACTTCACAACCTTTTTCAATAAATCATAC